CTTGGTTTAGCTAAGGGACGAAATACCCTTACAAAGCACAAACGGAAATACAAAAAAAAAAAAAATACGCGGAAGCTGGAACGGAGCCGAGTGCGTTTAGAACTGACAAAGGGGCTAACGTGCTAGCTCAAAAGCAGTGAAAGTGGAGGACTTTAGGAAATGAGATAAGTCCTGACTCTTCTCATTTTGCAGTACCTGAGGCACAGAGATGAGTCAATTGCCCACGTCATATCCGTAATGCACCTGGGTTTTTTTAATCTCCACAACCATATTTTATAAAGTAAAATACATCCTTTCTACAGAAGAATTTCTCTCCCTCTGCCCGCCCTACCCCCCTTAACCCGCCCACTTTTTCTCTCTGGAAGTGTTGGAAATCAAATCCAGAACCTTGTAATTTGAGCCGAATACTCTACCACTGAGTTATTCCCCATAGCCTTCACACTTTTATGTAGGACTTAACGTGCTCTAATGAGGCTCGAAATGGTACCTTGAGCATTTTTTTTTTGCTTTTTATACCACTTTATTCCAACCTGAGCACCTCAATATAAAACTAAACACTGGTGAACTGTTTTCTTTATTAATTTTGAGTTACTGTAAAAAGTACAAGTTCTGCTAGCAGATCAACACTTAAATAGATTAAATCATCTGACACATAGTAGATTTCATATAATGAAAATAATTAGTGCAATATACTGATCAAAATTAAATGGACTTTGAAAAACAAGGTTTCAAGATTAGTACTAAGAACATTGTAATACTTATGTTACAAATTGCAGGTACAGTGTTTATTATGGTTCCAGCCATGAAAGAACAGCAAAGCCCCTTCTTTAATAGGGGACAAATAATTAGCTGCTTTAGTAACTGTACATTTTGTATATGCTTAGGTAATTCTTAAATATTACAGAAAATAATAAACATGGGAACTACAATGCAGTCCAGCTGAGGATCATATTTAAAATCAAGTTTGAAAAATAAATAAATAAATAAAATCAAGTTTGAATTGTTAGTGCACTGACTAATGTCCAAAAGGAACCAGAGCTCCCTCCCTGCCCCAGACAGACCTCTATGTAATGGCCAACAGTGATTAAAGAGAAATCAGACACCTGGTTTGTTTCCACTTTGTTGAAGAGCCTTGAGCATTTTCTTTGCAGATTTATATGCTTATATGTTTCTTGTATGTTTAGTGTTTCAGTTGTGGCTGATTCTAGAGTATGCCTACTGTCTATCTTTTTCTTTTTTGGTTTTTCAAGCCAGGGTTTCTCTGTACCTTTGGGGTCTGTCCTGGAACTAGCTCTTGTAGACCAGGCTGACCTTGAACTCACAGAGATTCGCCTGCCTCTGCCTCCCGAGTGCTGGGATTAAAGGCGTGCGGCGCCACCGCCGGTCTACTGTCTATCTAATGTGGGTTTTAAATTAATTTTTAGTGTGTGTGTGTGTGTGTGTGTGTGTGTGTGTGTGTGCGCGCGCGCGCGCGCGCGCGCTCAGGCTCATGAAGGTCAGAAGAGGGCTGGTGGTGAGCCACGTGATAATAGGGGCTGGGAAGAGACTCCAGATCCTCTGCAAGAGCAGCGAGAGCTGCAGGAACGCTCTTAACTGCTGAGCCACTTCTCTAGCCCTGATCTAATTGTTTTCACTGCAACCCAAGTTAACTGTGACATCAAATTCTGATAAAAATTGCTTTGAAAAAAAAAAACCCTAGGCCGGGCGGTGGTGGCAAATAAAAACAGAATAGTATTGTATTCTGTGTACTGCCTCCCAATGTGGGTATACTGTCATGGTTTTTGCTATGTCTCTTATTCACATGCCAACCTGGCCAGCCTCTGCTTAGATCCTGAGCTGGAACCACAGAAAGCAAGCCTACTGTTTCTGCTTATTGTGTTATTACACATTGAGAACCTGCTACATGTAAGACTCCTGGGCACAGGGGACACTGTGAAACAAGACCAGTAGTGGAGACGTGAAAAATGATTTCCCAGTTCTGTTGTCCTGGTTCTGATATCTGCCCCTGGATGGCTCTTTTAACCATGGCCATTTCATTTGAAAAGTTCCTCCATTTGGGTTAAAGCGTGTCGATTTTCTTGAAAGCACAGTAGTAAGCTTTATAGGTCTAAGATCCTTCGATTTCCTGGATTTCTGCCACACACCCCTAGACCCTATTAATGCCTGGTCACACAGGATATTTCTTAATCATCTAACATTCTTGACTAATCACTTTGCAGTCCTAGCAAAAGCCAATTTGAACATTTAAAAAAAAAAAAGGAAACCTTTCTACACTCCCCCTCCACCCCTCCCACACGCACTTCCTTCCCCATAACAACCCCGGCCTCTGGGCAGACCGCAGGCTCTGACCTTACAGGACCTCCCCTGTAGGTTTTCCTCCCAAGCAAGGTGTTATTATACTGTCTGAAGTCAGGGCCTGGTCTGTCTCCCCTTCTCACCCATCTTTCAGCTGACACCCAGGAGTTTCAACTGTAACCAGAGCTACTAGCGCTTTCATTTCTGAGCTCTACGAATGAGACGGTTGATGACAAATGAACTATGCCTAAAGTCCAACCTAGGCCACAGATCGTCCCAAATAGTCAGGATCACAGGGATCCACGGCTCATCTCCACTAACACTCCCTTCTCCACCTGCAAGCCAGCACAACGTGCCTTTGATAAACCAGTCTGCCTCCATCTGAGGTTTCAAAGCCAAAGCTATCTTATAGTAAAGAGAGACTAGGCTCGTTCCTGATCATGATTAAAACTGTTTCTGAAGGACTGAGCTATTGCCCTACCTATAACCTGAAATACAAATGGTTCAGCACCCCCGATTCCAGGAGAGGGAAACCACGCCTTTATTTCAAAAAGTATAATAACTCTCTTACAACCCTAACTTTGTTTCAAAAGGTTATTTTGACTGTCTAGGTCTATGTTGTTGTAACTGCCCGTTTTTGTGTCTGCGCGTTGTTGTGACTGCCCATCGTCGTGACTGCCCGTCATTGTGTCTGCCCAGGGTTGTGTCTGCCAGTTGTTGTGACTGCCCGTTGATGTGTCTGCCCGTTGTTGTGACCACCTTGTTATTCCCTTCTTGCAACAATGCCTTTTTTCGGGAAGTTGTTAGGACTAATTTATTACGCTTATGTTCTGCTCCTGTAACGCCAGTGAGTTTGCCCACCAAATTTCCTGTTTAAAAGCCCCCTACCCCCAAGTTATAAAAATTATCTTCTGTTAATGCCCAAATCCGCAAAGTCCCTGCAAAAGCCAACAAGGAGACTGAGTCCCATATGTAAAAGCAAAGAGCCTTTATTTGAATCAAGTTTGCAAACTTGGTCTCTCTGCATGTCCAATATATTGAAATAACCAGAGAGCCCCGAGCTCAGTTAGAATTGGACTTTTATAGTAGTAAAGATGGATTTGAGGGGTTTCTGAGGTTTTAAGACCTCTAATTGGCTGAAATTTGTCTAGGGGCCTATTGAGTGTGTTCTAGCAGGTGATCCTTGGGATGCCAGGCATTTCCTTTGAATGGTCTGTCCTTGGGTGAAGGCCGGGTAATCTCAGTTTGTGGTTCCTCCTGCAACCAGGCATTGCCTCAATTTAACTCAGGCCTCCATTTAAATTTATCGATGACCAGAGTCTTACTCTGGCTGGTGACAGTGGTTGGAAGTAAAGAACTTCCTTTGGGTCACCTTCTCATACTTACCTTAGCACGGCTGGCCCGCAGGTCTTCCTCACGTCCAGCGCTGACCTCTCAAGCTCTGCCTTACTGGAAGGCAGCCTGTGTACACACACACACACACACACACACACATATATACACAGAGAGACACACACACAAAACTCGCTTTAATTGTTTGCTTTCAATAATTTGGCCATGATGATTTGGGTAGGTAGTCTTTTTCCTCCCAACTCTGAGATTAACACCTTTCAAAACAGTCTCTTCAGAGATAGAATTCACTGGAAAAGAAAAACAGACCAGCTGGGCGGTGGTGGTGGTGGTGGCACACGCCTTTAATCCCAGCACTTGGTGGGGGGGGGAGGCAGGTGGATCTCTGTGAGTTCAAGGCCAGCATGAGCTTCAAAGCTACAGAGAAACCCTGTCTCAAAGAAAGAAAGGAAGAAAGAAAGAACACACCAGCCCGTACTTTCTTTCTTTCTTTTTTTTTTTTTTTTTCGAGACAGGGTTTCTCTGTAGCTTTGGAGTCTGTCCTGGAACTCCCTTTGTAGACCAGGCTGGCCTCGAACTCACAGAGATCAGCCTGCCTCTGCCTCCTGGGTGCTGGGATTAAAGGCGTGTGCCACCACCGCCAGGCCCATACTTTCTTTAACACTAAACTTTAGTTGTGGACTAAATGGCTCCAATGCCAATCACATGCAGCTATTGGACGTCTTCCTCTCTTAACCGCCACACTTGACTCTGTGGCTTTCTGTTTCATCAATAAACCCACTTACTCTGCTATACTCCTCCCAAAATTCTTTCAGGGACTGCTTCAAGGACAGAGGTGTACCTTGGCTAGCAACCCTGGGTTGTGTTTCCTGCTTACAGTGGTGATAGAAAAGAATGATGATGCAGTTGCTGCCTTCAACTAGTAAACAGATTTTAATGGGCATGAGAACTGAGCTTCTCTCAAGTGTATCACAAGATTACAAACTCTTTGAAAGCAAGAATGCTGTTGTATGTATTCGGTTTTTAATTGCAGGAACACACATGACATTCATTTCTGTCCACTTTTCCTCTTGAAAATAAGAAAAAATGACTTTGTTCTGCTTTTTAAATTAGATATAATATTTTATTCATGATTTGAGAGTCTCATACATACTATGCTCGTTAGCTTTGGTCAGCATGACACAAACTAGAGTCGCCGGCGAAGGGGAACTTGAACTGAGGAATCGCCTCCATCAGGCGTCAGGCGGACCTGTGAGCAATTCTGTGGCACATTTCCTTGACTAATGATTAACGGCAGAGGACACAGCTCATTGTGGGTGGTGCCACCCCGAGCAGGTAGTCCTGAGCAAGCCGTGTCGAGCAAAGCAGCAACCCTCTCTGCTTTCTGCTTCAGTTCTGAGTTCAAGGTTATCCTCAGTTACCAAGAGCTTGAGGCCAACCTGTGCTACAGGAGACTATATACGGGGGTGCGGAGGAGGTGAACCATCTATAGTTTCTCTTTTATCGGGCCAACTCGGATTTTTCAAGGTGCAGTTTTTTGAACTGAAAATTGGTCTTATGTGTTCACCCAGTGGCTGACTTTCCGGAGACCCTGCGAGTCTTCCCCCTGCGCACGCGCACTCTCTCTCCCCCGCCTTGCGCGTGCACAAGCCAACTGGGACGTCGGAGCGTGCTAACCCGGCTGGCGCAGCCGAGGCGGTTGCTAAGAGGTGGAGTTGGCGCCATGGCGGCCGGGGCAGTGGCGGTGCTGCTGTGGTGGTTGAGCTGCTGCGGCTTGGCAGTATGGAGGTAGAAAGATGCATCCCGGGCCACCAGCGTTGGGCATCCCAGCGGGGTGTCCAGCTCCCCAGCAGATGACCTGAGCTCCTCCTGGGAGTCTCTTATGAGGTGTCGTCCTCTGCAACGCTGGGTTTTGCAGAAGGGCGGTGGTACCCTCATGTTTTGCCTTAGATCATTAGGAAAATGTTATATATATATAGATAGATAGATAGATAGATGATAGATAGATAGATAGATAGATAGATAGATAGATAGATAGATAGATAGATAGATAATAGAGATACATACATACATACATACACATGTGAGGCCATTTACATGAAAGTATATGATGTGTTTTGAGTATATCCTCCCCATACCTTTATTTTTTCCTCTTGGAGATTGATGCCCAGCCCCAACCCCGCCCATGAATTATTAAATTCTCCCTGTAGTTGTACCCTTGTTACTCCCCAAAGGAGAGCCAGAGATGACTAGGGAGGAAAAAGGAGGGGCATTTCACTTCTGACTTATTTTAAGAAATTGAAGCAGTGGTTTGGGAGAAACTCTTTACCAAAATAGAAGTGCTGTATAAAGGTAAAGTGATTAATTCCCAAGTACTGATTTAGAGACCGAAGATGTTATGAAGTTCTGAGATATCTCTAATGCAGGTTTGGTTGTTTTTGTTGTTGTCTGGTATTCAGTAATCACAAGCAAGAAAGGGATATCAAAATATTTTAGGTTTTAATGGGAGTTAAGATGTACTTTGAACTAGAAAAAAAATCACATTCTTGGATTATGCTATATAACAATAAGTATTATCTCCCCAAATTAACATTTAACACGACCAACAAGAAGTCAAACAGCTGTAAACTTTATTTTCTTTTTTTGTAAAGTTTTCTTTACAATGAGGAAGGGGTTCTCTTACACGTCATGTGACTGGTGAAGGTACGGAGGAGCGGCCATAGGCTAGCATGATGGTGCACAGTGAGCCCCAGCGCTCAGAGGGCCAAGAATTCAAAGCAAACGTAAGCTAAATAACTCTGTAAAAATATTTTTTTAATTAAAAATCGAATACAGGGGCTAGAAAGGTGGTTCCGTGGGAAGGAGCACCGGCTGCTCTTCCGAGTACCCTGCTACGGTTTCCAGCCCACTGACTTCTTACAACTGGAGTTACAACTCCAGTGCTAGAGCATTTGGCGCCCTCTTCTGTCCTCCGCGGGCATTGCATGTATATGGTGTACAGACAAAAGCAGGCAAAACAGAATACATATTTAAATATAAACTATCTTATATTTTAAAAATTAAATATAAGAAAGAGTAGTCATTGGAACAGATCCGTGAGAAGGAGCAACAGTATTGTGTTCTGAATTTTTTAAGCCTTCTTTTCACAGTGAAGATAACGTTTTGTGGGTTGAACGCAGTCTTAAATTTAGAGCGCTCAGCACACGCTAACAGTAAGTCACCGATGAGAGTTTGAGAGTGTTAAAGATGGCCTGTGACCTCGGGAAATTTATGAGCTCTATTGAATTTTTGTTTGTTTGTTTTGTCTTGGACACCGGACAAGTCACCAATGATATTTAAAGCACTAGATAACAAATATATTGGATGTTTCCTAGCAATAAAATCTATGCTGTATCTACTGAGACCTGTGCCTTACTAGAGGACAGCACTCTGGGTGTGGTTCCATGATGATAAAAATGTATTTACTGGAAGGTACGCTTTGACTTCCAGGCTACAGTAAGTCATCCCTGGTCACTATATTCACGATTAAAGGAATGCAAAGTCCAGTTCCATGTTAGTGGGAAAAAAATGTTACAGAATACCTGAACTGTATCTTTTAAAAATATTCCGTGTGTGTGTGTGTGTGTGTGTGTGTGTGTGCGCGCGCACGCGCGCGTGCAGGAGCTGAAGCAGAGTGATTTGGGGAAGAGTGTTGGATAAAGTAGGAATGCCACATAAATGTAAGGAAATATAATTCCTATATGAAATACTGGTTTGGAGAATGACAAGCCCGTGCTGCTATGCTAAGGCATTGTCCACCTTTGTTTAATTTGCTTAGTTAACTATTGATTTAGAGACGACGTCTCACTGTATAGCCCTGGATGGGGTGGAAATCGCTCTGTAGACCAGACTGACCTCAAACTCACAGAGCTCCATCTGCCTCTGTCTCCAAAGACCTCGGATTAAAAGCAAGTGCCACCTGCCCAGCCACTGTCTACTTCTTTTTTCTTTTCTGTTTTTGGTTTTTCAAGACAGGGTTTCCCTGTGTAGCCCTGGCTATCCTGGACCTCGCTCTGTAGACCAGGCTGGCCTGGAATTCACGGGGTGTCTACTTTTATTTTGAGACAGGTTTTTCTCACAGACCTGAAATTACTCACCAAGTGGTTAGGTGAGTTATCTAGCGGCAGCTGACGTATACCCTCTAATGTGCTTAGTGTGGAGGCCCAAAGAGGCCAGAGGTCAGGGAGTTTGGGACTTGTTTTTAGTTCATTCAAGATTATTGTGTTTCTAGCTCAAACAAAGGTCCCACTTAGCTGTGAATCAGAGTTCTGCTCTCTCAAGACTTTCGTCCTCAACAGTTGTGACTAGTTGCCAGACCTTGTGGTCCTAAAATAGGGAAGCAGTTGGTTCCTACCTAAAACAAAAGTCTAAGGATCCAACCAAAGTTCCAGTTCGCCTTTATGGAAATAACTTGGAATTCCACCCAGGGAGCGGTTTGCGTACAGAGTGTTAGGTCTAGGGCCAGAGTCAAGGGCGTGAGTGGTGACCGTACCACGTGACTTTCACTTTGTATATTAATGCAGTCCTTTCGTTCCACTCCTACCGTTTGAAGTCAGGGTATATTAAGCTGTTGGAAATTAAACATGGGTGAATTTTCAGTACTCACTGAAATTCCCTCCTGATACTGTCCTATGTGTTTCTGCATTTTATTGTTTTTGTTCGTGTCTTTGTATTCTTTACAATATTTCTAAATTCCCATGCCTCCACTCTGGAAGAAAGGTACTTTTGTCGAGGCTGGCCCCCCGACAGGTTAGAAGCATGTGTGTGCCAGCACGCCCGGGTTTTGATTATGTACATTCCCCTTCTTGTAAGGCGAGCGCTTCACTAGCTGAGCTAGTACCCAGTCCTTTCTTTCCTTCTTTTCGGCTTTATTTCTTTTTTGTTTGCTTCCTTTCTTTCTTTTTTCTTTGGAGACAGGATTTCTCTGTAGCTTTGGAGTCCTGGAACTCTCTGTAGACTAGGCTGGCATTGAACTCACCGATATCCACCTGCCTCTGCCTCCCGAGTGCTGGGATTAAAGGAATGCACCACATTTTGGTCTAAGGGTATAACTTGATGCTAGACATGCATGAGGCCCTAGGTTCAAAAGGCACTGGAGAAAAAAAAAGTAATAGATTTTCTGAAATCTAAGAAAATGAATTTTAAACTGTTTTATTGTTAGCTATTTTTACAGGTGTCTTACATAGACAAAACTTTTCCCTGCCCCAAGTTCTTTCTTCCACTAATATGTTCATTATTTTTTTACAATGTTTGTTAAATAATATTCATGGGAGGCTCTTGTTTTATTTATTTATTAATTTATTTTATTTTTATTTTTTATTTTTATTTTTTTGAGACAGGGGTTCTCTGTAGCTTTGGAGCCTGTCCACTGGAACTAGCTCTTGTAGACCAGACTGGCCTCGAACTCACAAAGATCGCCTGCCTCTGCCTCCCTCTGCTGGGATTAAAAGTGTGCGCCACCACCCCCCATGAGGCTCTTGTTTTAGAGTGAGTCCCTGAACTGGGCCAAAGGGAATGAACTGAAATGAAATATTCATGATAATGTCCCTACCCCACCAAACCAAACCCAAACAGTCACTGAGCTCAGAAAGAGGGAGAGAGAAAGAGCCAAAAAGTCAGCTTCAGTCAAAACCACAAGGGCCTCCCTCTGCTTGTTCTTAGAAAAAATAACTGGAGCTGACATGTCTGTTTTTTTTCCATCAATTTCTGTCCCCATCTTAGAGGTCCTGAACGACCAGTCCACAGGTTATCCTTGGTTCCTCCCCAGCTGCACTTCTATAATCCCAACCCACTCTACTGGGTGTATCAGAACATTTCTGCTATTTTATGAAAGAGAACATTGCCAATTCTGAGACTGCATGTACACACCTGGCTGAGGTGTTCCGGTTGCTATAATTTTGTCCTTTGATGAGTTCTTAATTCCAGTGGAGATAGGTATTTTCCTAAGTGATACTAGCAATTCAGTGTCTTTTCCCATGGGATCTAGATTCATTTTTAAAACATTTTTAAAAACATTTATTTATTTATTATGTAAACAATATTCTGTCTGTGTGTATGCCTGCAGGACAGAAGAGGGCACCAGACCTCATTACAGATGGTTGTGAGCCACCCTGTGGTTGCTGGGAATTGAACTCAGGACCTTTGGAAGAGCAGGCAATGCTCTTAACCTCTGAGCCATCTCTCCAGCCCCCTTAAAAACATTTTTGAGATTTTTTTATGTATATGGGTGTTTTGCTTGTATGTATGTTTGTACACCATATGTGTGCAGTGCCCAAGGAGGCCAAAAGGGGTCACTGGATACCCTTGGGACTTGAGTTAAGACACTCTGAGCACCCACGTGCTGAGAATTGAATCCAGGTCCTCTAGAAGAGCAGTCAGTGCTCTTGACCCTTGAGCCATCTCTCCAGTCCCTAGATATATTTTTAAACCAGTACCACATATTAAAAAGTCCCTATTTTCTTAATTTATTGGACATGTAGTCTTCATACAAATCTTCAGTGTGGACTTGGGTCTGTTTCTGGGCTTAACGTCTTGCTCTGTTCCATTGGTGAGTATGCCTATTGCCACACCTACATTCTAGTGCTATAATGTCATGAACTTGGATCTCTCAGGAAGGTCCTCCTGAGAAGTCTTAGTCATTCTATGGCCAGAACTCTTTAGACACCCTGGGACCTGGACACAGTCACATAAATTTGAAAACAGGTTATCAACTATTACATAAAAAATTCTTTTAGGATTTTTTTTTAATG